GCCCTTTTTTTTTTAAACCTTTTTCGTTCATTTACATCGTCGCTAAAGAGGCTCATTTAACAGTAATGATCCGCCAGTAATTGATACCAATAATGAGATACGTATTTATCGTTTATGGTGTAGATTATTCATTTGTAAAGAATATGCAGGAGGAATATATACAGTGTTCATGATTTTTATTTGAGATTTATAAGGCTGCTGGAGTCTAGCACGTACTAACAAATGTGGTATATTGCATTTTATTTGATTATTTTTTTCCCACAAATGTCAATTATATTTTTTTTCTACCATACGAGTTTATTCTTGAATAAATGATGAAAAGATCATCTGCATCTGAACAAAACCATGGAGGAAGAGTAATGAACACTCCAGTTTTGGCATTTTGATATATCATGTAAGAGTGGATCATCTTTATTTGCGGTTTATATTCTTTAATCGCAATTAGATATCAATTACGGTTTCCATTCTCTATATAAATGCAAGTTCATCAAATACAGCAAAATTCCGGCATCGTTAAGGCCCTCGAGTTTGCGCTGAAGTACTGTGAAAAAATCCAAAGTGCTATCAGCTAAAGGCTTTATGATACTTCTTTTCGAGTCTATAAAGAGACCTTTGGGTTTTGCCTATATAAAATAAAGTAATAATAATGAATAAATAATTAAAAGTTAATAAAAGACGATTCGCATCTCTTTATTTCCTGGTTGTGCGATGAAGACTTTGTAAATGTTTTTATATAATTTAATGGAATTTTACAGAATTATGTTTCTAAATAATTACAAAACTATTACATTTTATGCTTAATTTGTTGTTTTGAAATAATTTCAATCTGTTTTTTACCAATTATTACGAAAGGAGGATATAGAATAACCCGGTATTAAAAAAAGGTAATCAATTGGCCTATAAACATTGCCTGAATCTTTCGCACTTTTTTCAGTCTCGGATTCATTATTAGTCTAAAAACTCTATAAAAGAAGAAAGAAGAAGAAGAAATCTATAAAAGAAGAAGGATTCATTACTAAAAGAAAGATAAATCATGGTTACTACAGAAGATATTATTGAAGAGAAGGAAGAGAAAAAGGCTCCAGTCTTTAAAAATCCGGAATTCCAGGTAGGTAATATTTTCTCATTAGCTCTTCGTTAGATTAATGACATTAGGAGAATGGTTTCTACAGAAAAAATAATAATAATAAGAAAATATTGCGAAAAACTCAAAATCGAACTACATTACCCTAAATCCCAAGTGAATAGTGGAAATCGATGGCTTTATACGTATACTGGGAAGGGTAATTTTCAGAACACGTACGAGTTTCAGGTTCTGTGCACCGGCTCTAATGACCATTCCTTTTTGGATAATAAGCACCAAAGAGTTCTACAAGCCGTGGCTTACCAGATTATGAACATTAAGGGCTTATTGACTCCTTGCTAGAGCATATATATCTTCTTCTTCTTTCTTCTTTTATAGGGTTTTAGACTATTGTCTAGTCTATATCCCCTGGATCTATTTTCTTTCTAGAGCATATATATTGTTGAAATACATTGTCATTTGATCAAAAATCCTTTCTAACAGTGGGACTCTGCATTTGCTATTGGGGGCAGAGTCCCTAGATAACCACACACTCACCATGGAGTTAGTCTCTGTGTGGTGTTTATTGTGACTGGTTTCTTATTTTCTTAAGTTATTCATTGCCTCTGCAGATTATTTCATGTATCAATGCATGTGTAGTTTTTACTTATTTTTATGACAGTCATTTGATTTTCCGTGTCTGAGTGTGGTCATTATGTAAGGCTATACCAAAGTATTACATCCATGTTGCATGGATTTTGTGTTACCAGCTTGCAGAGGAAATGACATAGATGAAAAGTGTCTTTAAGTTTTGTTGTATATACTTTCCATTACAGGCAAAGTTTACCTTGCACCATATGGTAATGTGAAACTGAAATTGTTCCTTTAACCCAATGGTGACAGGTGAAGAAAACAAAAAAAAAAACTATACGCTCTGGCAAACTATGGCGGCGCGCCGGCTTTGAGCGCATGAGTTCAGTACATCAGCCCGAATCACTGGCTCCCCACGCTTTGGCACGCCGCCGCCACGTACAGCCGTACGCCAGCTTTTGTGGCTTGTTTTCACGCCTATTGGCGTCACCCATCGTGAAGGGGTTAAATTACTAAATCTGGACTCTTTCTTTATTATTGGAATTCTATAGAATTATCCCCTCATTTATAAGAGTAAACCCCCAAGCAATCACATCTTTATTTGTCATTGGTATTTGTTCTTTTTATGTATAGCTCACTTTTAGTATTTCCATGGTATATTTCATGCCCTCCCAGGTTATTTAGACCAGTACTGTTATTATGCTTGATCATTGTTGAATAAACCTACATGATACATATAGAGTAGTAAAAAAAAGTTGCTGTCAAGTCAGCAACTAGAAGTTTCATACTGTATATAGCATATGTATCTTTTATACCAGTATTGGAATAGGCTTTTCTGAAAATGGAATAATGATTAGACCAGTGATTCTCTATCCATCCTTAGTCATTTACCCCCTTGACAGGATAAAATTTGTTAATTACCCATTTGCGCCCATGAAAACAAGAAATACCTTTCTTATTAAAAGTTTGCGTAAAATAAGTATTATCAGTGAAAACAATTGATTCAATGTGTGAGGAAGTGTATAGTAATACTTAGTATTGCATTATGTGCAACATGCTATTACTGATCTTTAAAAGCTCAAAATTTGTTACTGCTGCTACGGTTTCATTTGATATCCCTTGACAGTAGTGAGATCATTGTGGAAATGTTTAATTACTCCACCCTTACTTCATGACTTCATAATGGTTGACTACTGAGAGCAGCCTTGAGACCAGCTTTGACAATAAATATGATTACAATTTGAAAATCATACATGCAGCCCTTTAAACAGAGGCTCCATGCCAGACAGGGTTGTTTTACTTATCCCTGTCTTCAGTTCTTTCTATGGCTGTATCTTAGTATAGTCAAAGTCTAGGATTCCTAGTATTATTATTGAAAAGGTGGTATGCTTTTTAAAAAGCTTGATTATAGGTAATATTATCAAAATTAATGTCAGAGATGGACAGAAAAGTTTACAAAAATTAAGAACAATCTTAATGAAGAAAAGCTATGTGTTTCATATTTTTCACAAATATTTTATCTTGAGTAAATTCAAGTCTTCTAATTTTGTCAATTTGAATTCCAGCATACTGCATTTCGTAGCAGCAAAAAAAGAGGATGGAAGAACTTGAAACAGATTATAGCTCTGGAAAGGGGCTATACCTGGCCTCATGATGCTGTTCACTGTAAGTTCTGTATGTGTGTGTTTAATAAGGAAAATACAATGGTTTCACATTCAACAGTAGACTTGAGGATGTGTGTGTTTAAAGGGGCCTTAGGCCAATTTCATTAATTAAATATGTTATGAATATAAGTTTTTGTTTATAACATAAGCATCAATATCTTCACATTAATGCACTACAATCCCAAGAAGAACACTATATGAATGCTTATGTTATAGATGGTTTAAATTGACAAAAATTTAATAAATGTATTGTTGGGTATTAATCTGAGACCCCCTTTGGACATGCATACCTTGATTAATAAGCAATCATTTATTTTGCTGCCTTTCCCAAAAATATCACTAATTTCTTTCCAAATTTTTCATCCAAGTTTAGCATAATGCAGTACTTTCCCCCCAGATCTTTTCTGATTTTAGTCCAAACTCCAACTCACACAACAGTAACAATTAATTTAAAGGATTACAAAAATATCCTCCAATTAAGCTACAGAAATCTTTCCTTTCAGATAGCAGCATTGATGCCCCTCCTGCCTTTACACCAGCCAAAAAATATTCAGATGTGTCTGGATTACCTGTAAGTCAGATTTAATGGGTACTTTGTCATTAATTTATTAAAATATTGCATTTTAGAATTATATAGGGTGGTTATCATGTAACGAGTAGAATGTGATATTAAACTTTTGGCAACCATAAGTGCCAAAGGTAAGAAATTGGAATATAAGATTGCATTCATTTCTTAATGTTGAACTGTGAGAAAGTATGTAAACATAGTATACTACACTAAATTACCCAATAATCTCTGGTTAATGGTTAGAAAAAATAAATGTGCTAGACATCAAAGGTCATATAACATTATGGTAAAGTGATGTGGCAAAAAGGGTGGAAATGAGGTAATGATCAGGGTAAGATGAGTTAGATGTCAAAGGTTGTAAAATGCTGTAGGATAGAATATTAGTGAAAAGGATATAGAGGAGCAAATGGAATACAGTGGGGATTTGTAAAAGGATGTGGTTAAAGGTATAGGGCAATCAGATCATATGGAGAGTATGTGTCTAAGAAAGGGAGAGATAGATATCGGCAGATACTTTGAATGTAGAATGACTAAAGGGACTAGAGGGTGGATGAGGGAGTGGATGATTCTCTTGATTCATGTTTATGAACTTTTGGATGTCTTCAAGAATTTCTGGAGGGGAGTAGGGTGAGGAGGTTTGAAAAACAAAAGTTTTCTTATGTGGAGAAGAGAGTATAGATGTCCGAGGAGCAGGGGAAGAGGTGGGTGTAGGAGAAGATGGAGTGAAATGTTTAGATTGTCTGGTGCAACATGTAGAGTGAGAAGGAGGGCGAGAGGCAAGCACTGGGGAAGTGATAGAGATTGGAGTATCATGATTTAGACTGGAAAAGGAATTTGACTGGGGGAGAGAGGTAGTAGAGATAGGTTGGTTTAGGGTAGAAGGAAGAGATACTGAGACCTTGAGAAGATGGGAGGGGAACAGATTAAAGTATAGTTTTCAAATAGATAGAAAGAGAAAAACCTCTTCAGCATGCCTCTTGTCATGTAGAGTGAGGGCACTTAGAGGGCAGCAGGCTGTGGAACGAGTGTTTGACTGAGTGGCCAAAACACCAACATTTCTGACATTGATGGGGATGAGGTCAGCATGGTTGGACAGGGCAGGACACTCTACCAA